TCCTGCGCTACAAGTAGTCATCTCGAAAGAGAGGCGAGTTGTCCGCCGATAAATCGCTTGATTAACCCACCCGAAGAGCGGGATACAATGGAAGGGAGGGGAAAGCTCACACATATTTTTTTCTTTTCTGCTCCTTCACACCAATCCGCGCATAACCGCTTTCATAACCCGGCACATTATGCCCGCTCGGCCTGTAACCCCCCCACGTTATCCCATGTAATAACCCCTCGTTGGCTGGAGGTTACACAACGCCCCCGTACAACCGTGCCCACTGGCCACCTGTGATACATGATATTTTAAAGGAGGTGGAGCCGTAGGCGGTAGCTTGCTCGTGGAGATAGATGAAGGTTCTGTCGTTGACACACTTGTTCACAACCACGTTGAGATGGGAAAGTTGCTTATTATTGCTGAGAGACGATCAGCAAGGGTCTGAAATGTAGTGGGGATACAACTTCATCTCAGGGGGTGCACAGAGTAGACAATTCCAAGGGGGTAGGGTCAGAAGGGTATACCTCCTGACCGACCTGCATCCTATCAACAATAAGATGTACCCTATTCATGCTGGCAGCCACACTCCTGAACACTGGCCCACCCATATATGCAGAATCTATACTCGAATCAATGCTCAAATCCTCAAAGCTATAGCAGTAAGATTTAGCTGATGAGTTATAATTTTGAATCGAATATATGGCTCTTTACGTGACATCCAAAAGGAGGGTGAGTTGTAGAAATATCCCGAATCAAGCCCCCACACCATCATTGAGACGACGAATGCGAACGGTCACAAGACGGAACATCGACATCTCAATGACAACGCTTGAAGGGATAAAGCTACGAAGAATATAAATCGCTGCAGAGCACGCTATCATCCCGAACAGACGACAGAGGGAAAAAAATCATTGTCCAAACGCTACACACCACTCTTTTACGCGCACCCGCGCGTATCACAACTGGAGGAATGAGGGTGACTACCCGAGAGAGTCCAACATACGGCGACGAAACTCAAAACCCAAACAAATTTCCGAACGAATACGGCCTTTGATACTGGACGCGACGCAAAGGAAAAACTCAACGTAATCAAAGACAACGTTAACGAAGGGCAGGAGAACAGAACGACAGGCAAAGGCACGGAGAACGATTGCCAGCGTGCCAGGGTACCCAACTTGTACAAGGAGACGGCAAGGGCAAGACCTAAGAGGACCAAGGACGCAAAGCACAAACGATTAATGCAAGAGAGGCGGTCTGACGAACTGCGCCATGGCTCGCTGGCGATACGCATCATTCAATGACATAAACACAGAAAAGTCGTAGAGAGCAGCCACACTCCTAAACAATATTCCGTTTGGCAAGAACTTCCGTTCCTCCCTCTGCGCTGCCCCCCTAGGACTGTAGGACCCTCTGACAATGGCGCAGACGGATCGTGCGGCTCTGGTTGCCCTATATGTCGCGACCAATGGAACAAGCTGGAAGAACAACGAAAACTGGAGCACGGAATCCAACCTGTCGCTATGGCACGGGGTCAAAGTCAACGACCAGGGCCGTGTTGTGGACCTTAGTCTGGGCTACAACAATCTTCGAGGTGCAGTACTCCGATTTAGTCCATGAAGGCGTGCTGCTGTCTTGCCTTGCCAGTTTTTTTGCGAGCTTACAACACGGTGAGAAACTATATTCCGTTGCGCGTACCTTCCTGCGCTCTGCACGCCGTGGGTCAAGTCCTGTACCAGCACTCTGTGCGTACGGTGCTCTGCACTAGTGAAAGTTAAAACGGCACCTGAACATGGCGCGCCACTTGTAAGCCACACCAATTTTCGTTTGAGGTGTTTGTGGTATTCAGAGGACCTCCGGTATCCCGTGTTTTGCATGGCTGGGACGCGTTTTTCGTCGTAAGCATGTGCTGGAGCGTTCTCGATTTCGAAGCCGTCCCGTACCGGTCCGGTAGGCTTAGTGGTAGGTTTATTTCCTGTTCATGTATTGAATGTGTCGCTTTTCTCACCCAAGTGTGTCAACGAGTCGGTAAAGTGGATTGGCAGGTTAATGGGGAAGGAACAAAAATTCTTAATATCAAATCTCGATTTTGGAAGACTTGATGCGTTGGATTCCAGAAATAACTTCGTCCCGGTACCTACAGTAGGAACCAGACGACATGACTCACCTCCGTACGCATGTTCTAGATTTCGGAGTTTTTTTCAAGGTCCTCATGAAGTATTTTTTTTTTTTTTCTGCTTGCAGGTCCCATCCCGCCGGAGATAGGAGACCTGGTTGCAATGACTCACCTCTACCTTAAAGGAAACACGCTAATCGGTGAGTCACTCCGTGAAAAATTCACGACGAATCCCGTCGATGCTTTAGTAGGACACATTCTTGATACCGCGTGAGAAAGCTATAGTCTACATGCATCACATTTGATATGGTCATTTCGAATGTCATGCAGGCGAAATTCCGGCGTCGCTAGGACGGCTTAGCAACCTAAGAGGGCTTGGTCTTGCGGAAAACAACCTAACCGGTGAGTGTCTCTAGCAGAAAAACAAGCAGGGGCAACATAAGAACTCTGGAGCAACAATTTTGCGTTGGGCCTCACCGATGCATACTCTAGACAAGACCATTTCCAAAGCTATTTGTAAATCCGTGCTTTTTCTATTCGTTGTTCTTGCGCAGGACCTATTCCCAAGGCGCTCGGGGCTCTCAACAAGATGCAGTCGCTTGACCTCGTCGCAAACCAGCTCACAGGCAAGACGCATCTATATTGTCCAATGTGTCGCATGCTGCGTGCCCTGCTTGGCGAACGTTGTTTTGCCGGGTTCTGTAAGTCTCCTCCCATACACGTAGGTGGTCGTACTTCTAGAAGCCGGAGATTTGGTTTGTTCCCCACTACGGTCGTATCCGCACTTCCGCTGCCTCAGGCCCCATCCCGCCGGAGCTGGGGAAACTTTCACAGGTGGTGATGATGAATCTGGGGCAACCAGCTGAGTGGTGAGTTGCACGGAAATTGTTTTGTCCGCTTTCAGGATGGGCCCTGCGAAAGCTTTGACAAGTAGGCTGGTCGAAAACCGCGGAGCACTGTTTTCAAGTGGAGTAGGATGCCACCCACGCCTCATTGCAGGCCAGGGTAAGCTCGTGTAGCTTGCTGAGATCTCCCAGCGCCTCGGACATAGGTCCCGATCAAGCAACACGGCCGGACAAGTCGCAGGAAAATAGTCTTGATTATGTTAAAAGATATGTCCAGCTGATGGGAACGTGAGGGATAAGCGTTATTGTAATCCTCGCCTCTCACATACTTGTGATCTTGTTGTAGCCGAGCGAAAGTTCCTTCAATTGTTTTGTCCGCTTTCAGGATGGGCCCTGCGAAAGCTTTGACATGTAGGCTGGTCGAAAACCGCGGAGCACTTTTTGCAAGTGGAGTAGGATGACCACCCACGCCTCATTGCAGGCCAGGGTAAGCTCGTGTAGCTTGCTGAGATCTCCCAGCGCCTCGGACATAGGTCCCGATCAAGCAACACGGCCGGACAAATCGCAGGAAAATAGTCTTGATTATGCTGAAATATATGTCCAGCTGATGGGGACGTGCGCGATAAGCGTTATTGTAATCCTCGCCTCTCACATACTTGTGATCTTGTTGTAGCTGAGCGAAAGTTCCTTCAGCGCAGAGAGGGCTCCCAGCGCCTCGGGATGAGCCCTGAACAATTCAGTACAACTTAACAAATGCACTAAAGTAGGATCATCATCATTGGGCTTTCAACAATGGCCTTGCAAACGCATGGATGAGTGTGTTCTAGAAGCCAGAAAATAGCTTGTCTTTCCCTGCAATAAATGTAGGTGCTCTTTCTTCCGCTCGCAGGACCGATCCCGCCCCAGCTGGGAGACATTTCGGCGTTGACATCCCTCGCACTTGATATGAACGACCTAACCGGTGAGTGACTGTGCTCAGGTTTCAGGTTTGGTGGTACCGCCTCCTGAGGGAGGTGCTCCAGAGACTCCATGAACTTTTCAAGTTGTATCGTGTTAACCGCCTTGCCCAGTTTGTGCTGGGCTTTCCTCGGCGTAGTGGATTCCCCATCGTGTGCTGCCAGTTCTGCAACGGTGGGCTGGCGCTTTCCGGTTTCTCCTGGCGGTTCTAAGGCCCACTCAACCCATGACGGGGGAAGGATCCCCTTCAGAATCTCCACCGATACTCCATGCTCCTGGTTGAGTTCTTTGATAGCGTCCCCCATCCGCTCCACCAACACGGTTCCCGGTATCCGAACTCTCACCGACTCTCCCAATGGACCCCGTAACGCGGCTATAACCGCAGGAAGGGTGCCGACTAGGTTACCCAGAGAAGCTGAGAACCTTCGCATAACGGCTGCCTGTGATCCTAGTCCTCCGGCTCCTGTCGACAGGCGCGCCTGGGCTTGTTGATAGGGCTTTAACTTGAAGCGGTCAGGCTGGCGGTTGTCTTGGAAGAACACTTCTTCGTCTTCGGTATCTCTGAGCCCCATCGTTGCCTCTAGGACCCACATCACCATATTGTCCAGGCGTTCACAAGCCCCTCTCACTAGCTTATGATTGATGCCTCTCTCGATATATCCGGATCGCTGTGTCAGCGATTGTGATATGACGAGGTGCGCCACCTGTCTGTTTGTCTGGCATGCGCACCAGCATGCGAGCAAGCTTGTCTGGCATTCGTAAGCCCGACTTTATTGTTGACTACCATTAGTCTAGACGCGCACAAATAAGAACAGTGCATACACCCCCCCATCTCCGCACCAGTACTATTTCAAAGGAACCTCCTCGTCGCCGCTGATCTGCAAGTAACTGCCCACCGGTCACCCCGCGAGTAGCCCCTCACCTCTTCGTGAGTGCATATTATCTTGCAGCTGTCACGTTTTGGGGCCTCTGTTCTTACACCACAAAGAAAGGCGGGTTCGTTCTTGTTCTTCACACCACGTCGGGCCTGAGCATGCACGTGTTGTTATTATTGTTTTGTGGTCAATTTCTTTGATTTTGATTTTTTTCGAGGCCTCATTTCTTAACGGCCAAGTTCTTAAGTGCGAGCGCCATCTTTATCTTCTGATCATGATGTAGTACCGGGAGCAACGTAGACATGGGCCTGCTCTATTTGATATATATATGGTTGCGTAGAAACACGCGCGGCAACGATCGGGGGGCAAAGCAAAGACCGAGAAGAAGAGAGAGAGAGTAGTAGGCGATGAAATACTATATACATACGCTGCCTCTCTCTGTAAAAGTCAATACGACAACACGTACGTACGTACGTACGTACGTCTGTCTCCTAGCAATATATACTCATAGTGGTCGGATATAGTATCATTACATAAAAAATCTCTGAAAAGAATTGCGCGCTCAGCGTGAAATAATTCTAGTCAATACTTCGTATATATGTTGTTGCTGCTGTGGAACATAAAAACTTAGCTGACCAAAAACTTGCCGTTGAACGATTGGTAATGGAAGACATTACTCGGAGTTTCTGCTTTTTTGCGTGGGGGTGTCCTCTTATCGGCCGCGCGGTTGGTGTTGCCACAATTGTTCCCGCCCCCATCACGATAGATTCATGGAATTTGCGAGTATAACAACGCGTTATGCTTCAACATATAGCGTAGCGGTATGCCGTACAACTCCGTAGATACAGGTTGATGGTTCGAACCGCGTGTTCTTCCTGCGCTACATGTAATCATCTCGAAAGAGAGGCGAGTTGTCTGCCGAAAAATCGCTTGATTAACCCACCCGTAGAGCGGGGGGATACAATGGAAGGGAGGGGAAAGCTCACATATTTTTTTCTTTTCTCCTCCTTCACACCAATCCGCGCATAACCGCTTTCATAACCCGGCACGTTATGCCCGCTCGGCCTGTAACCCCCCCACGTTATCCCATATAATAACCCCTCGTTGGCTGGAGGTTACACAACGCCCCCGTACAACGTTAACCAAGGGCAGGAGAAAAGAACGACAGGCAAAGACACGGAGAACGATTGCCAGCGTGCCAGGGTACCCAACTTGTATAAGGAGACGGCAAGGGCAAGACCTAATGAGGACCAAGGACGCAAAGCACAAACGATTGATGCAAGCGAGGCGGTCTGACGAACTGCGCCATGGCTCGCTGGCGATACGCATCATTCAATGACATAAACACAGAAAAGTCGTAAATAGCAGCCACACCCCTCAACAATATTCCGTTTGGCAAGAACTTCCGTTCCTCCCTCTGCGCTACCCCCCTAGGACTGTAGGACCCTCTGACAATGGCGCAGACGGACCGTGCGGCTCTGGTTGCCCTATATGTCGCGACCAATGGAACAAGCTGGAAGAACAACGAAAACTGGAGCACGGAATCCAATCTGTCGCTATGGCACGGGGTCAAATTCAACGACCAGGGCCGTGTTGTGGACCTTAGTCTGGGCTACAACAATCTTCGAGGTGCAGTATTCCGAATTAGTCCATGAAGGCGTGCTGCTGTCTTGCCTTGCCAGTTTTGTTGTGAGCTTACAACATGCTGAGAAACTATATTCCGTTGCGCGTACCTTCCTGCGCTCTGCACGCCGTGGGTCAAGTCCTGTACCAGCACTCTGTGCGTACGGTGCTCTGCACTAGTGAAAGCTAAAGCGGCACCTGAACATGGTGCGCCACTTGTAATCCACACCAATTTTCGATTGAGGTGTTTGTGGTATTCAGAGGACCTCCGGTATCCCGTGTTTTGCATGGCTGGGACGCGTTTTTCGTCGTAAGCATGTGCTGGAGCGTTCTCGATTTCGAAGCCGTCCCGTACCGGCCCGGTAGGCTTAGTCGTTGGTTTATTTGCTGACATGTATTGAATGTGTCGCTTTTCTCACCCAAGTGTGTCAACGAGTCGGTAAAGTGGATTGGCAGGTTAATGGGGAAGGAACAAAAATTCTTAATATCAAATCTCGATTTTGGAAGACTTGATGCGTTGGATTCCAGAAATAACTTCGTCCCGGTACCTACAGTGGGAATCGGACGACATGATTCACCTCCGTACGCATGTTCTAGATTCCGGAGTTTTTTTCAAGTTCCTCATGAAGTATTTTTATTTTTATTTCTGCTTGCAGGTCCCATCCCGCCGGAGATAGGAGACCTGGTTGCAATGACTCACCTCTACCTTAAAGGAAACACGCTAATCGGTGAGTTACTCCGTGAAAAATTCACGACGAATCCCGTCGATGCTTTAGTAGGACACACATTCTTGATACCGCGTGAGAAAGCTATAGTCTACATGCATCACATTTGATATGGTCATTTCGAATGTCATGCAGGCGAAATTCCGGCGTCGCTAGGACGGCTTAGCAACCTAAGAGGGCTTCGTCTTGCGGAAAACAACCTAACCGGTGAGTGTCTCTAGCAGAAAACAGGCAGGGGCAACATCAGAACTCTGGAGCAACAATTTTGCGTTGGGCCTCACCGATGCATACTCTAGACAAGACCATTTCCAAAGCTGTTTTGTAAATCCGTGCTTTTTCTATTCGTTGTTCTTGCGCAGGACCTATTCCCAAGGCGCTCGGGGCTCTCAACAAGATGCAGTCGCTTGACCTCGTCGCAAACCAAGGCGCTCGGGGCTCTCAACAAGATGCAGTCGCTTGACCTCGTCGCAAACCAGCTCACGGGCAAGACGCATCTATATCGTCCAATGTGTCGCATGCTGCGTGCCCTGCTTGGCGAACGTGGTTCCGCCGGGTTCTGTACGACTCCTCCCATACACGTAGGTGGTCGTACTTCTCGGAGCCGGAGATTTGGTTTGTTCCCCACTACAGTCGTATCCGCGCTTCCGCTGCCTCAGGCCCCATCCCGCCGGAGCTGGGGAAACTTTCACAGGTGGTGATGATGAATCTATGGGGCAACCAGCTGAGTGGTGAGTTGCACGGAAATTGTTTTGTCCGCTTTCGGGATGAGCCCTGCGAAAGCTTTGACAAGTAGGCTGGTCGAAAACCGCGGAGCACTGTTCAAGTAGAGTAGGATGACCACCCACGCCTCATTGCAGGCCAGGGTAAGTTCGTGTAGCTTCCTGAGATCTCCCAGCGCCTCGGACATAGGTCCCGATCAAGCAACACGGCCGGACCAATCGCAGAAAAGTAGTCTTGATTATGCTGGAAGATATGTCCAGCTGATGGGGACGTGAGGGATAAGTGTTATTGTAATCCTCGCCTCTCACATACTTGTGATTTGTTGTAGCCGAGCGAAAGTTCCTTCAGCGCAGAGAAGGCTCCCAGCGCCTCGGGATGGGCCCTGAACAATTCAGTACAACTTAAAAAATGCACAAAAGTAGGATCATCATCATTGGGCTTTTAACGATGGTCTTGCAAACGCATGGATGAATGTGTTCTAGAAGCCAGAAAATAGCTCGTCTTTCCCTGCAATAAATGTATATGCTCTTTCTTCCGCTCGCAGGACCGATCCCGCCCCAGCTGGGAGACATTTCGGCGTTGACATCCCTCGCACTTGATATGAACGACCTAACCGGTGAGTGACTGTGCTCAGGTTTCAGGTTGAATCCCTCCGATGAGTGGGTGAGTAGCTGCGCAAGAACAGCCTGACAGAAAAAGTTTTAACATGCCCCGGTGTAAACTTTCTGGATTTGCTCTTACCCTTGCAGGACCGATCCCGCCGCAGCTGGGACGCCTTGCTACACTGGAGCGGCTCACCCTTTCACAAAACCGGCTAACAGGTATGTCTAGTTGTGGTGAATAAATCACATGTATGCGTAGGCGGGATTCATGCATGGTGTTTCCGTTTTCCCTAAAAAGTCGAATCACAAGATTGAAAGCAACGGTAATGCTAAAAATCATTACCGACAAAAAAATCGCGCAACCACTGTTCAGCATGGTCGACGACCTCCAAGGCGATAAGGTGGCCTAGCTGGGGCGGGGTGTGACCTACAGAGAGCAATTCGAAGCAAAAAAGTGGTTGTGGTCATTTCGAAGAATGTTAAGTTGCGCTCTATCTACGTGTGTTCCTAGATCATTTTTCAAGAGGAAGACTCGCCCACGCGTCGGTAGGACCACTGTTGTCTCGAAGCCTCCTCGAAGCGTCATGACGCGATGTTTCAGTTGTTTGTTGGACTGTGCTGCTCTATCCAGGTCCAATACCCAAGGAGCTGGGAGACCTCTCCAAGCTGAAGCTGCTTTCGCTGAGCAAGAACAGCCTTACAGGTGTGTAAACGAGGCGAGGACTACATACCCCGTGAAGAGACTGCTGCTTCTAGGAAACATGTTCCGTGTTAGCAGGACGCATGTTCCAGGAGCTGTAAGGGCTGATTGTGCATCTTTCTCCTCCCGGTATTGTGCTGCTGTGGATAATTGTACAGGGCCCATCCCCGAGGAGCTGGGAGCTCTCTCCAAGCTGATGGAACTTTCAGTGGGCGACACCATGCTTACAGGTATGTGTGAGAGGCTAGGATGTTATCTATGCTTATCCCCAAGGGAAAAGGCTGCTGTCTTTACAGTAAAACTAACCCATGTCCTGCGGATCCTCCGCTCTGAGAAGGAAACCGAAAAATAGATATGTTACGCATCTGCCAGCCTGGTGCTGCAGAGCCGAGCTGCAGAATCGTAAGAGAAACAAGGTGCAACAACCGGCGGTATAGACCCTGCGGCAAGCTCATGAGCATGAGCATGTCGAGGATTCAGTCAACAGCAAAAGTTTCGC